TTCCCTTCTCCTAGTGCTTCTTGTAGTTCATTCATCAAAGGAATTGATGTGGCTAGGTGACAACCGCTATTTCCAGAGTCATTCCAGATGCCTGAGCTTCTGGGCATTTTAGCAGAATTATTTTCAGGATTATCACTACACTTATCAGAACTTTCAGAAATACTTTCAATTTCAGGACTCGTTGCATCTTCTGTCACTGTAGTCTCCTTTTCAGCTTTCTCAGAAAGCAGCTGTGACGTTTCACTATAATTGTAATTTCGTGGTCTGGAGTCATCACAAGATTCATAATTTCTGCCTTCCTCAGAAGCACTTGACGAAGATTCTACATTATTCTCTGACAAGTCTTTCCTCTCTTCCTGACTAACTGGATTGCTTTGATTGGGAAATGACTCATTTTCTGTGACTAACGCTTCCAAACTAACACTATTCCTCATTTTTTCTGGGGAGCTAGGAACTTCAGTTGTTGACCTGTTTTCTTCTGAATCTGCGTTACATGAAGATTCACTGTCCTCTTGCACTGGTTTATTATAAACATCACTAATCGTTTGCTGTCCACGGGTCTCATCTGTTCTCTTACATTCCTCTTTTCCTTCCTGAGAGGTGGCAATGGCATTGTCCCAGCCTTCCACACAACCTTGCTCACTCCGTAAGCTCCACGAGTTCAGCTGCAGCACTGAATCCTGACTATCCACCTTTTCATCAACATCAGCAGTGTTTTGTGCTGTCTTCTGACTAAGTACCTCACTCCCTAAGTCACGGATTTTCAGATCCAAACCATTCCCAGTGTCTGAAGTTGGTGTAGATGTGTCTGTGTCTTCTACAGGAACACTGCTGACTGTTTCTACATTCTCAGCTTCAGTCTCTCTGTGATTTAATTCATTCTGTGGTGGTGATAAGTCATTCACTGTTTGATTGTATACCGGTGGGTTTTTTCTGTTTTCAGATATAGAATAATTATTTTCACTGGTATGTATCTCAGCTGAAAAATGTTGATTAGCTATTTGTTCTGAATTAAGGAAAGGCTTAGCATAGGCAGAAAGAGCAGTAATTTCAGAATTTCTCTCTTGTAGCTGGGTGACATTATTTAGGGGAGCGTTCCAGATGTTTGTGTTTCCAGCACTCGAAAAAGTCATGTTTCCAAGAGGTAATGGTTCCTGATTTCCTTTCTGAAGTACATTTGGCTCAGTCAAATTTGGGTTCATCAATTTATCAATAACTGTTTCTTCGTCAAAATCTTTGTCCTCATTTTCTCTTTCATCTTCCACATATGTGGGTGATACATACGAATCAGATGTTGAATAATTGGTGTCTGGTGGAGAAACAACTAAATCTTCACCTATGTTTGATGAACTAACATCTGAGTGTTTATACAAGAAGGTATCCTCCCATGGCACCACTACTTCTGTTACTTTTTTCCTGATGTTTTTATCATACATATTCCAGGTTTCTATATTTTCAAATTGGTTTGGTCTATGTCTAGCGTCACCAAATGCAGTTTTTTCCTCTGTTTGCAGCTTGGAATTATTTTGCATATTGTTGAAAAAAGAATCCGCATCTTCAGATTTTCCATAATCTTCTGCTGAATGATATCTTTCTTTATCCCAGGCTTCTGGAGATACCTGGATAGGTGGATTTTCAGTCTCGTTGTCTGCTGTGATTTCTGAAGAATCTGATAAACTGGTTTTTGATATGGCCCATTCCTCAGGAATATTCAGGGGTTTTTTTTCTCTGTCCAGTGTGGGCATGTTCCATACATTTTCTGAGGATCGAGCACTATCTCCTGCATCAAACTTAGTCCAGACTTCATAAGAGTCTCCAGCTAGCTGACTACCTTTCCCTTCACCACGATGCCATGCATCTAACATCACAGGTGTCGGCTGACAGACCTCCCACAGGTCAGTAAAGCTTTCTGGTTCTTGCTTTGTCTCCTCTAAAGAAGCAGTTTGCAAATGTGAATGTTCACTGTTTTTCTCTTGATTCTCATGGTTCCAATTATCTTGTTTAAACTGATTATCCCACAGACCTGCTCTCATGTATTCCATTTGCTTTGGCTGCTTTTGGAGGAACACAGAATCTGAGGCTCTTCTATCAATATGTTCTCGTAGTGAGGGACTTTCTTTACAATCTTTCCATAAGGCAGGGCTCTGAAATACAGATTCCTGTTCACTTGAACTCCATGTATCAGCGTTTCTGGAGTCTAGGTCAAAGCCATCCCACCAGCTCCCGTATCTAACACGAGACTGAGAATAATTTGTGCCATCTATTTCATTAATTTTTTTAACAACATCTTGTGGGAAGAATAAAGGCTGCCCATTATCTAATGGTGAAGTTTCTACAAGGCTGTTCATAGGAGTTGGTGGAATTCTTGAATCAGCAGATTTCAACATTTCTGGTGAAGAAGAATCGCCTTCACCTAAATCAATCAAACTTGAAGTTTTCTCACACATTTCTCCTGTGTTCTCATCAAATTCAGCTAAATTGTCTTCCTCATTTGTTGTCATAAGTAAGTCAGTTGAGAAATTTGCTGTATCATTTTCTAGCAGGTTTGCCTCATCAAGTTCTTTCTGCGCAGTGAGTTGTTGTCCTTCTGATGAATCACTATTAAGGAAATAGTCATCTGCTGGGGAACAATCAACAGAACGAGAAGATGACTCGGATGGAGCTGTAACCACGGGTGCTAGATCAAAATTGAAGAGATCAAAGTTATCGCTATTGTCTCTAGACTGAGGTTTTTGTTCTTCAGCTATTGCTCCTTCAGGAATAGGGCTATAGGAGTCAAAGCCAGGCAGAAGGCTGTGATGGGAAGCAGCACCTTCTGCAACAGGGCTATCATCACTAAGGAAAACAGAACTCTCCTTGGAAGACCGGCTGCTTCTAATGGTAGCTAATCCACTGTCTGGACTCACAAGGTCTACATTAACATCAACGTGGGCTTGCATAGATCCATTTAGATCTTGAGGATTTTCTATAAAATTGGCCGAACTGGGCTGTGGTTCTACATCAGAACCGTATAACTCCATAATACCAGAAGATCCTTGTGAAAGTGGAGCACTTCCAGCAACGGCTTCAGTAGAAGAAGTTCTACTGTTTGATACCATTTCTGGTTGTCTTCTATTTATAACTTCCTTAATTAGAAGAAAAATTTGATCACAGGTCACCAAAGAATTTTCTTGATGGTAAATGAGAATTTGGTCACATCCACATTCTAAAGGATCCAGCTCCAAACAAGGATTCTGACATTCTTCTAATTCACAGCAGATCTGTTGAAAAATAGGATGTTTCAAAAGCCATTGCAATCATGGGCATAAGGGCACATACTGACTACTTCACCATGTAACACAGCCATACCTATCTATTCCTATTAAGCTATTCCTCGGCCATTTTGCTGTAACAGCCTTATTATGATCCCTAAATAGATGAAGTATTAAAATAGAAGATCAACACAAAATCTGTATTATGTAATTGGTCAGAATATTTACTTGAAATTATACCATTTGATTTTCAAGTTCACTTTTCATTAGTAAAAGAAAATCCAAATGAATATTAGTTGTTGGCTTAAGAAATCTGTGTTTCTTATAACCATACACTTTTTCTATTAGGCTGGTCCAAACCAATGATAAATATCACAGTCTTTCATTTTGCATCATCTAAATAATGCAGCCTTTTCAAACAGCCACTCAGTTGCCAGCCAGCTGTTGCTACTTCGTCACCCCACCTAATTATTCAACACTTTGGTATACACTACTTTAAACAAAAAAAACCCCACAACTTTTTTTTTTCGGGAAAGATATTATTTGAATCTTTTTCCAGGTACTTACTTGGTTGCCTAGCTCTAAGTTTTCCGAGTATACTGCTATTTGTCGTTTGGTTTGCTTCTCATCTGACAAACAGTTGGCCAAAATGACAAGTACATCAAACCCGTATTTATCTATGAATGCTTTCAGATCACCAGCGAGACTCCTGTGTAACACGCAGTCCTGAAATACGGTAAGAAATTGAAAGAAATGTCAGTGAATTTTCCTTGCTCTTTCTATCCAAATCTGTGGTGAAAATAGCCAGAAACATTAATAAGCATCAGTGTCTGTAGCTGGCAACAGAATTCCATTCCATTTGTCAAAACAGTTATGTGCTTAAAAAAAAAAAGAACTGATCTCACAGCACAGTAATGGACTTCTATTTTTGAAGAACACTAAAATACTAAATGTAGGTTTTGCCTTCTTGAAATTGCTGCTGAAACAGGATTCTTACTTCTTCCAGTTATTTGCTTTTGTAAGGTTGCTTAAAAGTAGTGGGCTACCACTATTTCTTGAATAAAAAGCCTTTTTTTGTTAGAAAATTAAAAATATTTTGTGAAATTTTTTCTGTCTATATTTCACTTAAAATAACAGATGTTAAAATAATAGTATTGAGGTGCAAAATCAGGCACTCACAAGGAAATTGTATGTGCTAACTTAATTTTACAGCCCTTTATATGTATCCATTATGATGTTATATGATTGTATACAATTTTACCACAGATTATTCCTTCAGATTCCTTTATTCCTGCTCCGAATTCTGTGCAAGTCTTCAAAACAGTAACTTCCCAAAATGAGAACAGAGTAAGGCATACTAGTTTTAAAATCTCTGTGTCAAAAAAAATATGCTTATTTTCACATGCACCACACACCAAATACGCAGGAGGTGAACATTGCATTTACCATTGCTATTCTTATTTATACTTGGACTAGCCCCACATTGAATTACCTAGATTTTTCAACATAAACCATACATCCCTCTTTCTTACCTGGGGACATAATGCACAAAGTATAAATATCTGCCTTCGGTCCTCAGTTCTGATAACTGCCAGTGAACAGAGTCTTACAAATTTTATTTTCTGCTTTACGTTTCTGCTATTTGTATTTGAGGTAATTTTTTATCATCTTCTAGCTAACAGTTCTTCTGATGCTGCCAAGCTACACTGGCCCTGAATAAACAGCAGTTCATCATGAACACAACACAACTGTATATGCAGATTGGCATGTTATTCCCCTGCATCTGTCTCCTACCTGATAAATTACTGTTTTGGTTACATATATACAAATACTATTTATTAGTCTACTCAAATGTGTCCACAAAATGCATCTCCCTCCCTGTAAGTTAAACTTAAAACAAAAAAATCTGTTTGTCAAATGCTTTGGAAGTAGATTTTTTTTCTGAGATTAGAGATTAAGTTATACTTTGATGTTTACATAGCACCTAAAAATGAGTTTTATGTGAAATTCACGCAGATTAATGCACAAAAACAAGAGTCAGCTGTCAGTTTACTGGTAGGCATTCACATATGAAAATCTTAATAGGCGGTTATGGTGAGGAATTATGGCAAATAAGGTTTGAACATCCAAACCAGTAACATTTTTCTGAAGACTCAAGTATTGGGTATACCAGAAAAAGTACCAAAGCGTGCTTAAGCATGGAAAAGTTATTTCAGTTATCCCATTCCTAACTGCAGTTGGAATAATTAAAATCTATTCAACTAAAAAATTCAAAGATTCAAAGATAAAGATAAAAAGATTCAAAACCATCTAAAAAGCCCTGATAACTCTTTATCCCAGTTACCCGCTCACAGCCAATTCAAGAAGACTGGGAGGTCACAGGGAAGGACGTGGACCAATCAAGGATCTAGTCTGCAAGGTGTTTTATGGCTGTACAGAAAGTTAAAAAATCATCATTCTAAAAAATGTCCAGCCTTCAGGGATTATGATGCTTTATCTTCTATATTGCTTGTATCAGCTGAAAAACGTAAGGAATTAGAAATTTTCTATTAAAATCATGTGACTGAACTGGCAGCCTCATGAAAGTGACGTATCTGCCATCATCTCAGCCCACACTTGGCACTCACAAAGTGGTAGGCTAGGGAGTGCAAAAAATCCAGCTTTCTGTAGTATTTTGAGGGACGAACCTCTTGACATGCCGACATGGCAAAAGAAAATTCTCCTGTCACATCCATGGCCAACTGGCAAGTCACTATGTGCGTGCAGGGCGATGGGAGGTGTCTTCCTAGAGTTCAAGGCCAAGGACCACTAGGGCGTCATCAAGCAAGACTATGAATAGAATAGAACAAGATACAACGTTCACATGCCAGCAGTGATTTGTTGTTGGGAATGGTTACCACAGCAAGGGTGTGGCACGCAACACCATACAATGAAAAGTCAGTTCTACCCCAGTCAGAGCAGGGACCAAAGATGCAAATGGCCATGGTAAAGCCCCTGGAGGTGCTAAAATCTCAGTTTGCCTTGTGCCCTGTTTTTGCTGACTTGCGTCACACAGTCAAGAGCAACACTGAGGAGCTGATGCAGCAGCAGGTGATCCAGTAGCCTGCTGCTGTAAGCAGGGAAGTTGCCAGCTGTGTATCCCGGGTGGAGCAATTGGACTGAAGAGCTTCACATTGGGCCACATGAATATAAGCAATAATGGATCTGTGCTACCTACGTAATTACCCGACCCAGCTACTTGAGGTTCTCTCCATTTGTTCCATGTTCTCAAACTTACTATTATTCAGAATGTGTATTTTTTCTTCTTGAGGTTTTCAGCTTGTTGATGACTGAGAGAAGCACAAAGATTAACTCTGAGCGGAGTTCCTGTCCCTCTCCATTGCGTACAAGCTGCAGAGAGATCACTTATGTACTACACGTTTTTTCTCTCTGTGCTTCACATCCAGCTTGGCCTTTGGGCTGTGTTCTGCTACACATATTCCTTGGGTACAGAATAAACTTGGCCAGGTAACCGTACCAGAGAAGCCTACGGGCAGCATCCACTCGGTACTAGCAATTACATCACCTGTGTGTTGTTGCCTTTATCTAACAGTGCAGCAAAAAGTTATCATATGAACATCGTTTCTGTTTGACAGCAGAAGTGAGGAATGGAGTCGTTTCCTTTTAAGAAAATTCTATAGTAGCTAAAATGATCAAAAGGTGGAAATATCTTCCATGAACAGGGTGTCTCCAGCATGCCATGCATGGATTGGAGGCTTATTCAATGCTACACCCCTCGGGGTTCCCACCACCTAAAGGGTTGTAAGATTATAGTGTTTTCCCCTTATAATATTAGCTCTAATACACAGCATTTTAAAACATACCTCACAGAGTTTGCATGCTTTTCTCACTGGGATCATAATGGACCAGCGCCACCTGGTGCAAAACACTATCAACTGATGAGAGGCTGCTCAGAGCAGCACGGTAATGGGTTTAGGTGCACCGGTACCATATACCACATTGAAAAAAAAAATCTTTAAAGAAAGTATGAAAATTATTTGAAGATTTAAAAGTGAAAGAGGGCAAAAGATGTCGACAATAATACTGAGGAAGTCATTAAGGCATGTCTGAACACAGTCCAAATCAAGCCAAATGATGCTGATCACATCCCATTTATTAGTTTGCCCATAGACCGTCAATGAGAAAACTTTCTGACAAAAAAAGTCATCATTCGGCAAAGGTATAAAACCCAAGACCCTATTCATTCTGTGCCATGAGGAGTAAGATAAAAGCTTCTCACATTACTATTACTATTACATTGCTATTACTAAACAAGACTTAGTATTAAAATAATACTTGGCAATGTAAGTTACTCAGTTTCCCATAAACAGTCATTTTAATAATCAACAGTAAATGTTTCTCATAACTTGTTACTTCACTAAATGCACCCAGAAATGAAACACAAGGCAAACACACCTCATTCACACAGCGAATCGACCTCTTTAAAAGAATAGTTCAAAGGGTAAATTTGCTGGATAATGCTGTTCACTAAGCTATTGGATAAAACCAAGATCAGATTATATGTCTTACAGTGTCATGGCTCTACCTCATAAATGTTTTTGGTTAAAGCATAAAATTAACCATTATTTTTTAAATAAGCAAAGGCATTTTTATTAATGTTAATAAATATAATTAATTTAAGTAATAATTTTTTTAAAACTTTGTTTAATTCCATCCCTCCCCGCAAACATCCATAAAGTTTACTGTTTTAAACTAGTACCAGCAACACAATTCAGATACTCCCTTCACAAGTGTTCAAACAGTCAAATAAAGGAAGTTGCATAAAAGAAATTCTTATAAATTACCAAAGACTATATATTGAAAGACATGGTAGACATATGGACTCTTCCACAAATTTGCTACCCTAAGTAAACAACCAGAATGCTGCATGTATTGTAAATGCTAACAGAAAATAAACCATTTCCTTCAGAAATGAAAAAATGCTAATCATTTCAACAGTTAAGCTGCTACATCCCAAATTAATTACAAGCATTGTAAAATATGCTGTTGATGAATTAGTATAGTACGAAATACACTGATATACAGCCAGACCATGCCAAAGGTCAGTGAGCTATTCATTCTTATACTAGTTTTCCTTGCTTCATTAGCATGTGCTGGCTTAAATATTAATTAATATTTGCATAGTCTACAGCAGGTAAACAGCATATGTAAACATTATTAGTTGTCCCCTAAGTAACCCATAACAAAAAAAAAAAAAAAAAGGGCTGTAAGTATACTTGAAATAAATGGAATCTAGTAGTAAAGATATTTTGCAAACGCTGTTAACTATGCAAATGCATAGTTAACAGCAATATGGATACTGGACAAATTTGCTGTCTTAGTATTTGTAATAAAATTGTGCATTTGCTTTGCCTAATGCATATAAATAGCTCATACAATGCTACAACATTACAATATGGTGAACATTCTGAAATGACAAATATTTTTTCATCATCTGGATAAACAGAATGATAAAGTTTAAGAAATCCGCAGACTTTCAAAGCATTTTTGAATGTGACCTGTTCAGTTATTAGGTATTTCTGTTGAGAAATACCATTATATGTAGGGTGTATATTGTTGTGGAACTTCTTTCTCCAAAACTCAATTTTTCTACAGGAATCTCTTTTTTCAGTTGTATAGTTAACATGACCACAAACATGGATGATCCTTTAAAAGAAGTAAAATGT